AGGGGCTCCTGGCCTTACTACTAGGAACAAGGACGCTGCTACTAGGGACTCCTGGCCTTACTACTAGGAACAAGGACGCTACTAGGAGCAAGAAGCTACTCTATCCATCAATGTTTTAGCTCAAAGTGCCCGTGACCTAAGAGGATTCTTTTTTCCGTTGGCCATTACCTTTGTGAGAGCAAAACAGGCTGAACGCACAGCAGCCATTGGGACAGCCTTGTTGCTCGAGATTCCGAAAGAAAGAAGCAGTGGAATCCATTTTTTAGTTTTGCATAATCATTCCTCAACCTCCACGGGCATTGTGAGCTGTTGCTATTCGCGCTTCCGGTTTTGCGGTACCATGCCTGCAGGAGTCTACGAAGTTGTCAGAGTTGCCGGGATAGCCTGGGAGTGAAAGTCTTGGGTGGGAAGGCACCGGTAAATGAGTATCAAGATCTTGGTTCCGTTTTTGGTGATAGGCAGGGCGAACAAAAGCATTGTTAACTGTTAACAACAGCTTTTCATCATACTTCCATGGTTTAGCTGTTTCAGCGAGTAAGCATCCGCCAATTGCTTTATCAATGAGCTGCCTAGGCATTTCTGAATTGATCAAACCTTGCAAAACTGATTATCCGATCGGGGCCAACCCCGAACGGATACCTTTCCTTTATTGAAAGAGAATCACTGCATTCCAATAAATACAAGAGACCAATGGGAGCCAACCCAAAATACATGTAACATGAAGACTTTTCGCCGCTGCTAATATGTCCAACGAAAAAGGACAATGGACAAATAATAAATGAAAAACACGATCTTGAAGAACACATATTTTTCTGCCCAGGTGCGAAGGACACCCGAAAGCCTTTGAGAAGTACCTGGACTACGCCAGAAATCTGGGCTTCAAGGCTTCGAATGTGCCTGATCCGATCATGAAATATGCACTGGTATAGACCAGAACTGTACGATTTATAGTATTTTTATATACTTCTTTTGAGCACACATTATTTCTTCATATTTACATACACACTACGAGAGGTAGAAATGAGATTGCAAAGCGCACGGCACGAGCTTGAAAGCTGATCCCTTTGCCTTCAATGTCCCAACTATGGTGACATGTCATGTGGCAGTTCTAGGCTTCAAAATACTTCCTTGGATCCAGGACCGTCCTGACTACGTCATGCTGCGGCAGCTCTTCTCTGAATTGAGAGTGGTGGTCTCGGATCTTCAATCTTGGCATCATTGTGCATGAACAAATGAGTCCGACTTACACTTCATTGGTAACAACTCAGACATTCTTCTTTTGCTGACATATGTATATTTGCAATGTAGTGTAATGCAATGCTGCAATGCATTGCAATGGTATGTATGTATATATGTAGGTATGCTTGTTCGTATGTAAGGGAATGTAATGTCATGTAATGCTGTAATGGTATGTATTGGTATCAGGTTTGCGAAAAAAAAACCCTCGCTCTTTTTCTTCGAACAAGAAAGGGCTCACGAAGGTCGTTCATGAACCATCATCTCATGTACATCACTCATGAAACAGGGATTCCGCTCTCCCCTCCCAAATCTTTTGGGATCCTGGGAATCCCCTCCTCACAAACTTGGTGCTCTATTCGCAACCACAAACAAAAATCTTCACACATCATTCAAAAATACGAGCTCTTCAGCTCAAGCCCTCTCAACATCTCACCTCCTTCAGAGGTCTAAGCTGCTAGCATGCTAAAGTGCTAGTGCAGAAAGTTGCAGCAACTACATTCCGCCACACGAATCCAGTGCCACTCAAAAGTCGAACACAGCACCCACACCAGCAGCCGCCTCCAAAGAAAGCTAACGAGCACCGGCCTGATTGAAAAGGTGGGCCTTCACCATCTTCTAGCAAGAACCGACACCAAGGTCTCCCGTAGGACACTCAGAGGCTCTCACCAAGATGCTATAGCCGAACCACCTTTGCTTCATGTAGTGCATCCCATGACTGCCTTTTCTCAGGTCTGATCTCACCATCATACGTCCATCGTCCAGCCAACCAATCGTCACCACCGCCGAAGACACCCCGCTTGATGCCATAGGAACCAATAGCTCGCTGTCGAACAGCTTTTTCCTCCCGCCCCCATGACGGTGTAGCTTCAACGTCAAAATCCCCGCTTGGTAGCGGAGCACCACTTCATGAGTGGTTCCATTGGACGGCTTGACCTTCAGGATGTTCATAACCTCCATGGAAAAGAGCCACTGAAATCCTTGGAGTTCATTTTCCCGCAGCCTCTCCAGGAAACTCTGCATCGTTTCCCCGCCACGAGACGTGTAGGCGGAATCAAAGAACATGTTCCTTGGCATCTCACCGGACATAGCAAGACCACCAGCCCCACCTTCGTGTACATGAACTTCTCCCGCTTGAAGACCTCCTTCATGCCCAGGCTGACCCCGTGCACGTAGTGTCTCTTCATGAAATGCTTCACCATAGATCCCCTGCCCTTGCTCTGGTACATGTGAATCTCGACCTTGAACACCACCTTCTGGTACAGGAGCACCCCGACCTTGTAGTGTCTCTGGCAACCCTCGCAAACTTCTAGCGGCGACCCCCGAGCTGCCGAACCCATCACCACCTCTGAAAGTGCTCGTCAGGCTTGAAGACACCACCACTGGAACGTTGGCAATTCTTTCGATGATGATTTGAGCAATTCGGTCACCAACTTCGAACTGTTTGGGAGATGAACTGTGGTTGACTAAGATCACCTTGACCTCTCCCCGATAATCGGCATCAATCACACCTCCCGCTACATCCAAGCCCTGGGATGCCAAAGAACTCCTTGAAGAAATCCTGCCATAGCACCCCCTAAGAATCTCCAGCGCCAACCCTGTAGAAATCAACTTCCTCTCCCCAGGTTCAATGAGAACTGCCATAGTCGTGGACAAGTCCCAACCAGCCGCTTCACTCGATCCCTTCTGTGGACACACGGCCTCCGGGTTCAGAAGCTTGACCTTAAGGTTTTCCTGACCAGAAAACAGCCTTCTAATCACCTCCATCCCAATCTCCTTGACCAGGTGTAGGAAGCAAACCAAACCAGCCAACACCAGCAACCAGCCCAGATCCCCAAACATAGAAGAGTTCGGCTGTCCATCAAGGTCTCCCTTCTCACATACCTCACGGGCTGAAGAACTTGGCACAATCGAAGCACCCGCCAGCATCATCATCATGCATTTGGAAAGCCTCAAATTGTTCTCCGGTGGCAGGGTGTGCGTCACCTTCTTCATGTCAACCTCTCCCCTCGGCCTCAACAGCACCCCCACACAGAACCTCTCCAATGCCTGTGAAGGTAACGATTTTGTGAGTGCGTCTGCCCACAATGCTGTCCCAACTCTATGATCAAGAGTGATCTCCCCCACCTTCAACGCCTCCGCCAAGCAAGAAGCTCTGATGCGCAAGTGACGTGTCCTCCAACCACCTCCTGACCCCGATGCCAAAACTACTGCAGCTCGGTTGTCATTGTAGAGCTCCAGGTTCACTTCTGGCAACAGAAGCTCAATGAGGGCACGAACAGATCGACCTGTCTGCAAACCCTCAAGAAGGGCTGTGAGTTCTGCTTCTGCTGTGGATAAGGCCATCAGGCCCTGCTTTCTGCTCTCCCACTGAACTGGGCAACCGGCCAGCAAGATCATCGTCCCAGACACGCTGTGGCTGTCACCTGGGCTGAAAGAAGCATCGACTAGGACCTCAATAGTTCCTTCTCTTCTAGGCCTTCTTCGAGACAAGTCTGGATCGCAATCCACAGGAACTTCTGGAGGGTACAGCAAACCATGATCCACTGAAGAGCGAACATAGGCAAGCACCGCCGTCCCAAGCTCCAATGTCCAACATGGCCTCTTGACTGCCCACTGCGACATCTTCATCACCGCCCAAGAAATGTCGGGGCGTGTCTTTCCTGCCAACCACAACAACTCCCCAGTGGTCTTCTGAGCTTTCTTCACAGTGGTCAGCGATGGCACTTCTTCTTCCTTCTCCTCTGGCACTTTGATGAAGGTTGATGTACCTCCCCCACCATGGCGTTCCAGTACTTCCCGAACAAAACTTCCTTGGTGAAGGTAGTATGTGCCATCCTCCCACCTCTGAATCTTAATGCCCAAAAACCGCATAGGAGCACCTCCCGGTTCAGCATACTCCGGATTGGACGTAGACCACACCTGCTTGACAGTGCTTGAAGCTGCGTCTGTAACCTCTCTTGCCCCCACCATCAAGACATCGTCCACATACACAATCATATAGCCCAGCACCTTCCCCCACTCTCTGGTAGCGGAGCCTGTAGTACCAGTCACTTCCTGAATAGCCCACAGGTTGGCATCCTCCATAGGCCGAAAACCGTAGGTCATGCGCCTGGTCTTGCCGTCTCTCCATGTGGACCTCCCCCATCATCTTCTGAAGCTCCGTGTCCCAGTACACACTCCAGTCTTTTGGCGACGTAAACATGGCCGAGGTGACGACCCAATGCTCATCCTGCGCAGCCAGACCAGCATCTACCAAAATTCGAGGAGGTTTTACAATGACCAACTCACCCTGAGCCTTAGGTGCTAAAAGAAACGCAGACTTCACATCCAGCGACAAGCAATGCCACTTCCTCAACGATGCCACCCTCAAGGTAGTCCTCAGTTGGGTCGAATCTGCCCCTGTCGCATAGACCTCCTCACCGGATCTTGACTCCGTGTAATTCCCGCAACAGACGATCCGAGCACGTCGCCTGCCGTCACCAGCCTTGCGAGTGAAGACGCCCATTCCAGGGATGATTTCAGCGCGCTCACCCCTGTCCTCTGCCTCCTGAACCAACGTGTTCGCCTCGGCTTCCGGCACCCGCTGAATCGCCTGGTTCTTTTCAAAGTTGTTGATCTCCTCCTTCAATGGTGGGACCCACAAGGGCAATGTCTTCCTCACCTCCCCAAGGCTGATGGTTCTTGTCTGCAAGAACACCTCCTCGGCTTGCGCCTCCGACTGAATGGCTTCCAACTCCAACTTCTTCATCATGCCCTGTGCCTGCTGAAGAAAGGACTCCAGGTAAGAATTCACCGTGTCCATCTCATCAATCAACGGAATGTCGCCATCCTCCTGAAGGTTGAGCTCCAATCTTTTGAACTCTTCATTGGCCCAAGCTTGACCACCTTCTAGACGACGTTGAGCTTCTATCACTCCTACCTGAGCCAAAGCCGTTTTCTCAGTCAGCCGTCTTCTGGGTTTGACCGTCTTGTCCAAGAGGTCGGCTGGTTCATCCCTCATCTCCACCTCTGCGATGTCCTTCAAGAGCGGCGGAGAACTCGCCACCACCATGTCATCCGTACGGACGAACTTTCCATCCTCCATTTCCACCAAGTGGCCTCCACTGGTCAGACTCATATCTGGATCTGGTCCACGAACAACTCCTGCCTTCTTCCTCGACCTCCAATGGCCTTGGAACTCATCCCATCCCTTCGTAGTGACCATCACCCGTTGTCCCCAAGGCATAAGCGTAGGTGTCACCATGCCCAGCATAACGAGCTGTTGCCGGCCTCTCCTTTCTCCCACGTGCTTGGCCATCAGAGGCCAGTACTCCTCCCCATCTCCCGAAGCCTTGATGAGGGTGTTGACTGCTCTTCGAACCACTCCCACTTCCGCTTCAGCACGGCCATTCGCCTTCCAATCACTTCCACTGGTGAAAGTGCGATAGATGCCTCTATCCTCACACCATTTTCTGGTACCAAGCATCTCGGCTGCTCCATCGCTGTGCACCCTCCTAACGTCCAAGCCCAGGTACTTCAAGCGAGCAACCATTCTGGCCAAGCATGCCTTCACTTCTACCCCCTGTCGCGAAGTCAAGGTCTCCACCATGGTGTAGTTTTGGATCTCGATCTCCTGGGACTCTACCTCCAGCCTCTTCCATTCCTCCAAGACCTTGGGGTCACCATCTTGTCGAGCCACCTCTTCCTCCTCTATGGCCGGCAGAAGATCCTTGTCATCCACTTCCTCGGCTGGCTGATCACCATCCATCGTCTCCCCCAAGGCCAGTGGCAAAGCAGCAACCATGCCTCTCCACCCTCCGGACTGGAATGGCAAACACACCCACCATGAAGTACTTGGCCTTCTTCATCCTGTCCTGACCAGGTCTGAAAGGTCCGCAAATGTCCACACTCAAAGTCATGGCGTCTGGATGCGGCACCTTCTTGTGTGGGCGACTCCTCCCACTCCCC